CATTCAGCGACAAGAGGAGCCATTCCAGAAATAGTACAGAAGACAAAACATTTACACATATAAATTACCAAATTGAAAAGACAAGTACACCTATATTGTTAGTTCCGGTACCTCTGGGAAGTTAATTATATGGAGATAACGAATGGTATTCAAGATAAAAAAAAACCCATAAAAGAAAACATAATACACGTAGGAGCAGAGCAAATACGGACCTACCAAACATTGGAGATGGAATCAGGTTTCATGAAGAAGTGAGTTTGCCCCATCGACCGCTCACATCCGCCGTTTGCTTCTTGTCATGATCGGAAAATAACGGGAAAATCCGTCGTCAATTCAGTGCATAAATAATGGACTAAAAATTAATATAAAAACGTCAGTCAGCATTTGATTCATTGATAAACTGTATTTGCAGACAAGGTCATTGTATCCACCATAGAACTAAAAAAATGATGACTTTAAATGAGATAGCTGATATTCTTGTTTCATCAACTTAAGTTTGTTTGTCAATAATTTCCTTCGTTTTAGAAATTGTTCATACGTAGAGCATGCTCTTGCTTATCGAATCAACTGAGATACATTAACTCCATATGCAGATGATGAAGGTATAGATCAGAGTAACGATCATGAGACAGTGAAACTTAAGGGCATATGCGGACATACCCGGTACTATACTCGTGTTTAAACTCTGTAATGAAACATTACACACTGGCCCATTTTCCTTCTCATGGCTCCCGCTGCGCTGTTGTCATGGATGTCATAATAGGACTAGATTTTTCTTGATGTCCATCATATAATAGTGGACCTAAACAACAAAACACATTTCTTAAACGGTCTCCTCATTCCTACAGTATATTTAGTGAAGACAAAGATTCAAAACAATCAGGTCTCCAGGGTTAACTTGCTTTCCAGTCAAATTATTCCTCCAAACACTGTATCCAGTTTACCAACTGCATTAGAACGGAGTCTTCTATTCAAGATAGCAGGGGACTCTTATACTCAAGTATATTAGGACGACAGAAGCAGACCTTGATGCAGTCTATAAACGACGCCAACAAATGCATTAAGATATCTGGACGGAAGCCTGTAGATTTTGCACAGACTCTATGTAAGGGATACTTAGTGACCCATCTTTAACTGATGGAGCATACGATTAAACGTGACTTAACCTTGGATTTTACAAAGTTTGTACAAGTTTAAGATTTGATTTGATCAGAATTTATTATCATATTTTGATCAATAAACTTTTTTCAACACACATCTGTGTTTGTCTAATTTTGAGAAGTAGCTATAGAAAGAGGAGGCATAAATAATTCTACCTTTTGGCAATAATATTGTTTTACTTAACCCACAACAACTGTATGGTTCATTTCACAGGTATGTCAGCTGACTTTTATAAAATTTTGAGCAACAATTTATCTTTGAAACCTGTTGCTTTATCTGAAACAGCTCTGCATACCAGAGGGTGTCGAATGAAATTAGGCGTCAGACTTCTTGAAACTACAAGAGTAGTTTTGATGAAAGATATAGTTTTTCAAAGATAAAATTTCATTGCCATGATTTCCACTTTGAATTAAAAAAAATAAATACTGTAGATTATTTGTTTTAAATTATATTTTCATTATTTTTTGAATTATCGTCAGCGTTATACATATTTGAATATTTCAATAATTCTATTATCCCGATATAAAACATAAACTAGACTGTACCTTACTTTAGCTTTTTACTGTATTACAATTTATTTGATACAAATTTCTATTTAAAGAGTTAAAATGTATCAAACTGTATAATTTAAATAACAAAAGAAGTGTATGTACAACGACCAGCAAAATACCACGTCAGCAAACAGCTTTCTTAAAAGGAAAGAAAACCCAAAATAACAAATCAAACTGGGACACCTTTAGCAGGAGGTAAGATAAGGTTCTTTTGTAAAAAAGAAAAATAAAATAAGAATATAGAATTAAGATAAAAGAGTAAAAATTCGATTTAAGTAGATTATTTGACTATTTCATTGCATATAATACTACTAATATTCTTTGTGTCCAAATGCATGATCCAAGAAATCACTGTATAACCAAACTTCATTTGGCCTCTTTTATTAAGTTTTTCAATATATTCACAACAAAAATCACAGTATAACCAAACTTCATTTGGCCTCTTTTATTAAGTTTTTCAAAATATTCACAACAAAATTGTAAAAGCTTTCATACAAGGTGTATTTTAAAATATTAAAATAAAGCTAGACAGCTCTAGCTTGCCCCGCCTAAAAAAACAGGTACCACGTATTGCAAAATAAAAGAAAATATTATTAAGCTACTTTTGGTTGAGCTACTATTGAATGGAATGAAAAGGGTGAAGACAGTATACAGTGATCGTCTTTACAAAATAAAATATATAAAACAGTGAAGGAGGCAGGCATCGAAATTTCCGTCAGAGATGGGATCAGTTGTCATGGAGGAGTAAGCAATCCTTGTCGACCTGTTACACTCACCGTGAGCCCTATGTATTGATCGGGTAGACGGGACATTCCGTAGTCAAATTTAGTATAAAAATAAAGACCTTACAATTGGTATATTGCCAAAATACGACAGGACAATGGACTTTTGTAAGATGTGCTGACTTTTACTTTTACACTGGGACAATATACAGCAGCTCTTTTGATATATAACTATTTAGCTTAACAGTTAATAACACGAAAATAGTTGGCATCTATAAGCATAAATTAGTTAGGAAACAAGAAACGTCCTATGCTAAAACACTCCCTACCCTCCTTGACAAAACCCTGCCCTCTGGAGTGTTTTCCCTCCTTATCTGATTCCTTCTTACAATGAGATAGAAAAGAGATATTTTCCATCATGAACAAGGTATTATAAGTCATGTTATTCTACCCTTCTTCATCTCTTGTGATGATTGGTTATCGGTAAATCGTGTAAGTGCCCCTAACATGCTTCCTATTATCACTTTTAAGTTTTCCTTATATATTTCTGTACCTTCACACATAACTCATGTTTAAATGTCAAAGCAATTCGTCGAGTGTAAAAGCCAAAGCTTCTTGTAAAGGTCCAGTAAAACTAGTCATTATAACTACCACAATGCTGGTTTTAAAAGAGATTTATTGAAATTCCTTTGATACCAATTTTACGCGCAGTAGCCTCCCTCGGTTTCAAAACAGACCATATACGAATAAATTGAGAGATGTAAACACTAGGTGATAGCGGGATAATACTCACAGAACTACATAAATAAGGAAAGTGACGATGGAAAATTGAAATAATCTCCTGTGTCATACAAGATAATTGTTGTTGTCCGCGTGACGCACTGGTTATGGCGTCTGCCATACTGTCGTGAAGTAAGGAGTTGATCCCAACATCGCAGGTTCGAACCCAAATGTGGGACGTGGAGACCTATCTTTCGAATGAGACCATATAAATCGAGGTCCCGTTTTGCAGTAGGTGCTGGCAAAAAAAGATCCGCCATTGCTTTATGGCGGTAAGTGCCGAGTATAGGACACAATTTGCATCTCTTCATTGGCAAGTGGTTGCGTGTCCACTTGAGTGAAACATTTTCGAAAGGGACGTTAAACAACGTATAAATAAACAAATAATTTAACTGTTATTTATCCCTTTTTGTGTATAGTCAGTTAAACATTCAAATATAAGACAGCTTTGGAACTTTCCTGATTTCGTCCCCTGTGAGGCAATTCTATAAGAAATCGAACTGGAACTGAAGAGGATCAATTTCATCGAATTCTTTTTATCAAAGTCGAACATAACTCGTAAATAGGCATACATCATCTTGATTTTCCTATCTCCAATATCAAAACTGGCCCAAAGACCATAAACTAAGAATAGAATTAAATCAGAATTTCAAATCAATATAAATCCATTGAAATAATTTTGATTTATTACAAAACAAAATGTATACCATATATTTAAATTGAAAATTAATATAACCTGAACATTTTTGATAATGTATGTATTATAATGACAAGCTACTTATTGTAAATCAGAATTTTGACTTAAGTCTTTTCTCAGTTTACAGGCCTGGTATTTTCGTTCGTTACAACTGACTGCTTTCCTTTCAGTTACCTGGGTTGAATGGACGATACGATCTAATATATATATTACCCCTGTTTACGTAATAAGTACTATGTGTCTTTTTCTTTGTATAATGCCTTGAACCCGCGCAAGTGTTGTAAATTTCTTTTGGTAACCCTTTTACCTGCTGTGGAAGAAGCACACAATATAATTTTGTTGCTACCAAGTTGTATGCAATGCAATCATTTAAAATTGCATGCGGAGTGAGAAAATAATATTTTGTAGTGTGTAAGAGATACCAGTCACGTGATGAAAATTGTTTTACATTACTGACATAATTACCTACACAAAAACCTTGGATTTTAAATTTTTGAAACTAACAACATGCAATATTGCGTGATTCAGACAATAACGTTAAGTTTGTATCCTGCAATGGCCACAAATCTTCATTTTTAAGTTTTAAAGAATATAATAATGAAAGTCATATACCGGGGTACAATATTCGTCGGGAAAAATAGTCACAGTGGAAACTATAAAGATAGAAATTGAAAGTCCATGTATGCTTAACCCAAAACTACTGTAACTATAAATATGTTGCAAAATAAAAATGAAACAAACACATTTTTTGCTACTTTGGTATGGAGTACAAACATTGATATTTCTTATTTTACAGGTATTTAAAATATAAAACCTTGAAATATGAATAAGATATCAGAGGAGTGAAAAAACATATTTAAACCAGAAGCCTGTTCAACAGAATGAACGTTTGCGAGCACTCGCCAAAATTCCTTATTCCTCCAACAGAAATGTTCACGAGCGTTCGCTCTGTTGAACAGGCCTCAGTTGTCACTTAAGTTAAAACCATTCTGTATGACTTTATGTACTACTGGTGAAGTGAGAATAAAGAAAATCATGGCTTCGGACACTGGTTACCTTGGATTGTATAGTAATATATATATTTTAGAAATGAGAAGAGGAAGTGGTGCAGCAGAGGTGGATCCATTTTTGGTGGTGAGGAATGCTGTCTATTTTATTGTGTCGAACAGGGATCAGTTAACAATTTCTCAGCTTCTGACTTGGTTACGTCAGCAATCTCAGCTTTATTTCCTAAATATTAAAAAGCTTCTTGAGATTCTAAAGCATTATTCAAATTACTTTTATCTTACGTATCCTGGTACATGTATTTCACAAATTCAAGTCAGATTGGCATTTGAGTTGAAAATATGTGAGCAACCTACGAAGTGCAGAGGTTACCCTGGATGTAAAGATCTGCATATCTGTGTATACTTCATTCGAAACAAGTGCAGGAAAGATTCAACCGAGTGTCCTTACGGACACAACTTGCATTCTCAACAGAATTTTCAGATTCTGCGAGATTGCTGCTTAGAGCAAATTAACCCAGCTGTTGTCAAAGAATGGATCCATAATTGCCAAAGCAGGAGATGGAGAGCTTCTAGACCACCAAAAGTTTGTACATACTACAACTCGAAGAGAGGATGCATAAAAAACGAAAAATGTACATTTCTACACCTTTGCATTCATTTTGTCAAAGGAAGTTGTAAATATGGTGACAAGTGTAGAAAGAGCCATGAACTCTTTTTAAAAAGGAACACGGGTAAGCTTTATACAAAATGAATATCTATGTTTTTATATTTCTTGGCTACTAACTGGTTGAATTAGGTACAGAATATTCTGTCTGAAAAACATTTTGTATATTGCCAATGCTATCATTTAGAAATACTCAGAGATCATGGAATCGATTTGCGATGTGATCAACATCAAATCCTGGATATGCTCTCTGAAAGAACAACACAGTATGGCACTGGAAGGTAAGACTAGTATTTTTCGTGATTCCATCTTTAGACTATCTATGGGTCTGTGGTTTTTTGTGTGTGTTTAATTATTTTTTTGTTTTTGTAACAATTTTTAAAAAAGTTTTTTTGTTAAATTTTTTGTCTTACAGTGCACAAGATAGATCAAAGATCTTATTTTTTTTCCTTTTTTCATTTTTGGAAACTAACTAAAAACATCCTGCAATTTTAAAGTTACCAATATTAAGTTTCTTGATTTTTATGCCAAATTTATCGCACATTTTTTTTATTTGAAGCCGCTCAGATGTAGATTCAGAATCCGAAGAGGTAAGCTAATAAAATTCACGCATTTAATAACTGAAGCTATTTCGAAGCAATATTCTAAAGTCATGATATCGCATACGCTGCAGGTGTCTTGAGGGGTGGAGTACTAGTATTTCTTTCATCGTTCCATACATGCAACTGTTCTTCCCCAATAAGCTTTTATTTTTTTTTAGTGAAGTTTTCCCCAGAATGTTTTAAATCGTTATAATTTACTGAAATTTAAAATTTCTGAACATTTGCAAAAGCATAATAAAACTTTGTATGCAATGTATCATTGAAGATCAAAGAAAAAAGCAAGACACCTATAATGAAGAATTTTTTTTATGTTGAATTATTTTCAAAGGACAATGATGAAAAGATTCCAGGGCGGCCTTTCTTAATAAAGGCGAAGTCTGATTGTATAACGATACAGTGGCGACATGTACCCAAATTATCCCCAGAATTCGAATATCAAATACAGTACAGAAAAATGCCCGACGGGCGATGGACTACCTACAACCAAAGGACACATTATGATGAATCACGAGCAACTATTTTAGGCTTGAAGTCACTTTCTTCATATTCTTTCCGGGTCCGACTTGTAGATACCAGAGATGAATTTGAATACCCCGGGTATCCCTTTAGCCCTGAAAGTGTTGATTTTCAGACACCAGAATCTCCAGCTTTGAGAATACAGCGTCGTTCCATTCTGGTGAAGCATGGAAATCCAGAAATTTATCGACTGCCAACAGAAGAGGTTCTAAGTGTCCGAAATGACACAATAAAATCAAGAAAGCTTTCAATAGGTTTGTATAACTGGGGTTTTTTATAAAATTGTCCCCCGCTTTGCAAAATCAAGGGGAAATTCCATCTCATTAGTCTGTCAGTCTGTCTGCCTGTCAAAAAAAACTTTAAATTTGGTCATAATGTTTGAATGAGAAAAATTACGGCTTTCTTATCTTACGTGTACGTTACCTGTGACAGGACCTATCCAAATATACCTTGGTTTTTGACCCCTTTACCTTGAAGTTTGACTTGCTTTAAAAAACAAGATGTTTTGAAACACTTATGTCCCCGTATGGCAGCTTGTAGCGAGTATTGACGTTTCTCAAATGCAAGGCAAACTCCACAGGTGAAGGTAAAAATGTCAATATTGTTGGTACATGTATCCAAACAAAGATCACGTAATAAGAAATACATGTGTGAAATATATGAAGACCCTAGTTCTAACATTTGAAAAGTTAAGACCAATTTCTTTTTAAATTTAAAATTGGGTTAAACTCAAAGGTCAAGGACAAAAAAGTGAGAAAAAAAATTTTAAAGAAAGGCTTTGTCATAAAAATTATACATGAGTATGAAAACCCTCGCACAAACTTAAAAATACTGTATGTGTACTTTAAAAAAGCGGGCTTTGGCAACAATGCTCTTATTCATGAATACCGCGTAGAAATCATTTACATACATGTATATATAATACATTGAACGGACATGTGTAGCACTGGTTTTTGATTACGCCAACAACTCCATACCCAGTGATTACGCTAAATTTTAAATACGCCAAATTATGTACACGTACAGTATATGACCAAAGTTGAATTTTTTTGCTAAAGTGGGTTTTACTTCGAGGTCAAATATGTTAATACATGTAATGGAAGGGCACGTCACAAGAGATGTGAAATATGAAAGTCATACCTCAAAACTCTTATATGGTCTCTGCTAGTTTACTCAGGTGACCTAAAAAGAGGGCCAAGTTTTGTTATAAAAATTCGTGTTATCGACAAATCAATTGAATTAATCTAGATTATTGTATTGTTAAATGAAAAGAAAATCATGCAGAAAGATTTCTTTTTTCACGGACTTTATACGATATTTAAAAAAAAATTGTGTCGCTTCAGGAGAAGAGGGGGTTGGCGTTCGCGAAAAAACAATTATGATGGTTGGAGCAACCGGATGTGGAAAGAGCACTCTTATTGACGGATTGGCAAATTATCTATTTGAGGTGAATTGGGAAGATAATTTTCGATTTACGCTAGTAAGCCTTGAACAAGAGGAGAGGAAAAGACTTAAAGACCAGGTCTGTACTTTCATAATTTAGATAGCAGATCTTAATTAGATATAAATGTTATCACATTTACAATATTTTTGTTGATGTTTGGCACCTAGTACATTGCAGTAGAAAAATATCGGAAAATGCCAATACTATTATAACTTGCGCGCGAACTCATTCTTAATTAGTTTTTTATTAACTTAAAAATAGCTTCTCTCTTGGAATTACATGTGTTTTCAGTTGGATTTTCAGGAGAAAATTTTAGAATACATTTTGATTCGTCGTTTGAAAAATAAATATTAAGTTTATTTTATCAAAAAATATACTTCTTACCCCTATTTGTTTGATTTAGGTTTCCGCCGAATTATTCCATTGAATCAAAAGCTGTCAGACCCGTAGGAAACAATTCCAGTTTTGTGGGGAGCCATACAATTTCTTTTTTCAACTACCAAAAATTTCTTGACAAGCAGAAAAAGGGGGAGGGGGCATCAGACGTTTTTATTGGGTGGGAACGAGCGTATAGTAATCATGTTTTCTATAGTTTTCTTTATATCGGCACATTTATTGGGGGGATGCACGGGTTCCTTCTACCATGTCTGTCCAAAATATTACTTAACGTTTACATACGGATTTTGTTAGAAATACTTAGTATTCTCTTGTTTCACATGCTATAAAACATTATTTTATAGAACTAAGATGTTTGAACTCATGTGATGATGCTTTCATTTCAATATAATATCATTAGTTTATTATATCTTCTTGCATTGAGAAAAACGAATAAGACTGTCTTATATCTTATGGTAAAAAATGAATAAAATCACAGCAAAACCATCTTAAACGAAACTCCCTCGGAAAGAGCTGATAATGTTTATTTTCAGTTCTTGCATATGATTTCTTGACCTTTGATGAAAGTGATAATAACTCCTGCTCACTAGAGACTTCCTCTTTTAAAAACAGATTAAACTGAAAGTATTTACAATTTGGTTGTCAAGTTTACCGGGACTGCAGCTGAGTCCAGGGGAAACTGTCGAATTCAGTCCTGAACTTCTTAATAGTAGGTGTTGCTGTCACTGTCTATGGCAGACGATTCCAATCTCTCGCCGAACGTGGGAAGAAGGAATTGTCATTAACCTCCTTGGTGGCACGAGACTGCCTGTATCTATGGCTACCTGTAATTCTTCTGTCACCATATGCAATACTTGTCTGGATTGATGTTTACAAGGTGGTTCCCAATTTTGTAGCAAAGAATAAGACTATGTTTTTCTATGCGGAAGTGAGTTCCACTCTAATTGGTCCAGTAATGATATTACAAACCCAGGGGAGGTGTCCGAGTACTGTTTGTAGACGAACCTGGCTTCTCTACGCTGTACCTGTTCCAGATCCTTCGTTAAGATGATCTGATAAGGATCCCATACTGGTGATGCATATTCTATTGATGGCCTGATCATGGTACAGTATGCTGTTGCCTTTACTGATTGTGTACAATGGCCCTGAATTCGTCTCAGGAAGCCTAAGACACTCGTTGGCTTTCCCTCTGTTCGTATATATATGTGGTTGTTCCACTGTAAGTCTTGGAAGATGGTTACACCAAGATATCTCCCACTCTCCACCACTTTCGGCAGTTGTATATACTGGGTGTATGATGTTTGCAATACCTGCCATTTGTTAGAGATCCTAATGACAGTGCACTTTTCAGGATGGAAACACATCTACCACTTCTTTTCCCAAACGTCTAAGGCAGTGAGATCTTCCTGTAACTGGGCTGCATCTCTTTGGGTTTTTGTATCTGTCGGTAGACGAGGCAGTCATCTGCTAACAGTCTGGGGTCTGCGTTGGTACACTCCAGTAAGTCGTTAATGTAGGTTAAGGATAGGAGCGGTCCCAGGACAGTTACCTGTGGTACTCTCGAAAGGACATCAAGAGTTGAAGATATGTGACCATCAAGAACCACTGATTGGGTTCTATATTTTAGGAAGTCCTTACACTAATCATGCCTATGGTGCTGCCTGACACTCCGTAGTGATCCAACTTCAGTAGAAGACGTTGATGAGGGACTTTAAAAGCTTGTAAAAAATCCAACAGTATAATGTCTGTCTAGTACCCCTGGTCCATTTCTTACCTATCTTGTCCAATGTAATGACAAGTTGTGTCTCACATGATCGGCGGGCACGAAAGCCATGTTGCCCAATCAGAGCAGAGGGTGTTGTTCTTATCAAAGTGGTCCATATCTGTGCTGTGATTGATTGATTGTATATTGCTTAACGTTCCATTTGAGAATTTTTCACTCATATAATGACGTCATCGTATGTCGGTGAAGGGGTTCAAATTCAGACCTAAACTCGCCACTCAAGGCCATTGAGCAGTAAGGGTTCTTTATCGTGACAACGCCTAACGTGACACGGGACCTACGATTTTAATGTTATATCCGAAAGACCCATGACTTTCACTTCTAATGCCGTGCGCTTGGCGTAGGAACAGTCGCTTCCTATGTTTACGTCTTAGGTTTAACGCGCCGCTGCAAGCGGAAATCGAACCCGATCACGAAGCGAACGCTCTACCAGTAAGCAGAAGTGATCGTACAACATGTTACAGGAGCTTGCAGGCTATTGATTTAAGTTGACAGGTCTGTAGTTTGATGGTTGATGTTTCTCCCCTTTCAGGGGAGCAGGGAACATGAAATTCAAAATTTTTGTTCCCCTTCACCTATAGATACTATAAGCTAAAATTGGTCAAAATTGGTTGAGTGGTTTCAGAGATGAAGCTGAAAATGTTTAAATGTTAAAGCACGACGGACGACGACGGACAAAAACAGATGGCACTAGGTCACTTGAGTGACTCAGGTGACCTAAAAATTAATTAAATTCTTATATGTACGGAGTTAGATTGACTTCTAAATTTATTTTAGATTAACAAATATAATTTCAGGCAGTTTCACAGACTGAATGGATTACTTGCTATAGCATCTATCCTGATGCGGCAACCAAGTTGGATTACGCTCTGCACATTGTGGACACTCCGGGATTTGGCGACACAAGAGGACTGGAGCGGGACAAGGAAATCTCCAATCAGATTGGAGAATACTTTCGTTGTCCAGGAGAAAAAGGAATGAAGTTCCTTGACGCCGTCTGCTTTGTAGTCAAAGCCCCAGATGCACGGCTTACGTCATCTCAGAAATATATTCTGGACGCCGTTTTATCGTTGTTTGGGAAGGATATAGAGAGTAACATCTGTACCTGCATTACGTTTGCGGAAACACAGGAACCCCCAGTGCTGGCATCTCTTGCCAAGACATGTTTGCCACATGAGAAGTACTTTAAGTTCAATAATTCTGCTCTGTTTGCTAATAACAAAGATAGAAACAGTCTTGCCTATGGTTTCTGGAATATTGGAAAGAAAAGTTTTGACCATTTTTTTATCTCTTTAAATCAACTGGAAACGAGGAGTCTTCAGATGACTAACGAAGTTCTGAAGACAAGACAAGACCTGGAGAATACAGTGCAAAATCTGCAGAACATGATAACCGCAGGAATGTCAAAAATATCAATGTTAGAGGAAGAAAAAAACATTTTTACAAAACACAAAAAGGCCATTGAGGAGAACAAAGATTTTCGTTATGAAGTCACTGAGCAGGTTCAGGAAAAAGAAGATATATCCGGTAAAGGCCAACATACAACAAATTGTCTAATCTGCAACTATACATGCCACGAATCATGCGCTATTCGTGATGATTCACGCAAAGACCACTGTATAGCTATCAACACTGACGGATTCTGTAAACAGTGTCCGGGAAATTGCCACTGGAAGAATCATCATAACAATCCTTACATCATTAGGTGGGTTTCTAAAAAGGTTTCGAAAACATACAATGAAAAATTGAGTAGATACAAATCTGCTACAGAAAAAGTGAGTACTCAGAAAGAGGTTCTGAAAAAGATGGAGGAAACAATAAAGGATATTGAGGACGTGATTGTCTCTCTACTCGATTCAATTACAGCCTGTAACAACAAGCTGAAGAAAATCGCTCTGAGTGAAAACCCAAAGAATACAGCTGAATACATACATCTAATGATGGAAGCTGAGAAGAGAGAGGCAAAACCTGGGTACCTTACCCGTATGAGAGTGCTTGAGGAATGTCGTCAAAAGGCATTAGTCGACCATAAAGCCAAAGACGTACTACAGAAAATCAAGCAAACTAGAATAAGCTCATCTTCCATGGACAGTGAAGATTTTGGCTCCTTAACATGTTTTGCATCATCTATCGGTAAAATGCAATCACTCATGCATCTTGCTTAGGGAGATCAATAAAATTATTCTACAACAAAATGATTAGATTATGATCGTGATTGACTTATTCTCCATATTTTTCCACACAAATGCACCAATATAGGATAACCTTCAATTATTTCTGCGATGAAAAAAATGCAAAAAGGGATGGGAATACAGTCATCTAATATTCAATAACTTAAATAGGGGAACAAATTATCAGGGGATGACAAGGACCAGAAAAAGGCGTTTCAAATCTGACAATTGAAAGATACATCTGTATTTTACTTCCGGTGTTTGAAACCAATAACCTTTCTACTACATTGTTCCAATTCGAAAAAGCATGCTATTTGAACTTTAAATTACTTTTACTGAAGTGCCGAAACCAATCACTACCAATGTTTTACGTCAACGGTTTGGCGCGATCTGGCGAAAGAGAATCAAACCGGCTCCTTCCTTTCAAAAAGTGAACGCTTCTTGACAGGACGCTTTGTGTACTTATAACAATAGAAAGAACTTTTTATGCTTTTTGCATTTATTTCTTTTCCTTTATAGATGGAAAATAAATTTTGAAATCAAAATATAGATAAAAAATGATAAATGATAAAACTATAACACTCACTGTTAAGTTTTCTTTGCCATATCAAATCTAAATATTTGCTTTCGTGAAGATTTGTGTAAACTTTTTTTTTTCATTTATTTCATTTCATTTGTCATATTTCAACTTTTTTTGTAAAATTTTGACAGTTCCAATTTTTGTTATAATGTTATCAACAATTTTTAAAAATCATTTTCTGAAGTTTTTCATTATAATCCATCAGTTTTAACTGCTAACTTTACCATATAGAAAAAGTATATTATATGTATTATTATTATTTTCATCATGTTTTGAGGTATGTTCCTTAGAGCTGAACACGACTCGTAAATCGGCATACGCCGTTTTCGATATTATTATCTTGTTCTATACATCAACGTATGAGTGTACTCTTCGCATTCGTTACACTTGACTGCTTTCTTGTCACGGGTATCGGCGTGCATGGCGACCCGTTTTGGTGGGAAATATCTTGCATTACCTTTGTTCACATTTTTTGTAGTAACGTGTATCTGTGTTTGATTAATACTGCACGAACCTGTACAACGATACGAAGTCTTGTAAGTTTCTTTGATATCTTACTTTCCTGCATTAGACGAAGTATTACAGTTATTTTTGTCGCTACCGATCGCGAGTGCTTTATTCTTCCGTCTACACCGCTGCCGACTGGGTGATTACACTGAACAGTCAGGCCTTTTATATAAGGGTCCTCAGATATAGCGAGAATTAAAACAAAAATGGCGGACATATTCCTATTACGAATCGTATTCAGCTTTAATTTTAACCTTTGAGAATCATTGTTCATCTTTTATGATATATAAATGTATCTTTTTCGCCTGGAATGTATTGGAATATTGCGGATTTTCTTTTTATATGTAAAGAAAGAATAATTATATATTATACAAAAATAGTTCTATATTTCATTCTTTATAGGTAGATTTGTAAATTTGTAAGAAGGAAAGGTAATATTATCGGACGAAGAACTCTTATGAAAATTTTAAATGTTGGTTGTAATGCGTCATTAGATTGGATAAAAAAATATTTAATATTGTATAACCTGTTGCCTTCACCAAAATGACTTACGTCAAAAACGTATCAATCCGCTTGATATATCATTTGAAATATGTACAATTTTAAGGCATTTTTTAAAGAAAAATTGTCTCACTTAGTGATTGAAACTCAACTATAAGGAGTGAATTTAATAGCTAACCAAGTCATACTGGTTTAACCTGGCTTTACTAAGTTTACACTTTTTAGCTCACCTAAGGCAAAGACTTGAGTGAGCTTTCCTGATCAAAATTTGTCCGTGGTCTGTCGTCTCTGTTGTTTTATTTGATTGTTGGGTCAGGGATTCTAGTATTAGGACAGTATTCTAAAGATCTGATATTGAAAATGCGTTAAGCAAAAATTCTCTTAACATTTCTGTCCCTTGGTGTCTATAAGACAGACTACTGTAATTGCAGGCTCAAATTGGCAAGAATGCTTAGACTTCCAGAATAATGAAATTCAAAGCCTTGGATTAGATTAGGAGTTTTTTTCTGTAAGAGTGGGGTTCTGGACTATACTGTGAAAAATGCAAAATTCATTTGAAAATCTTCTCTACCACTAGGTATTTAGTTAACATACTTAATGCCAAGGGTGCCTCCTCCGAAATTATCAATGTCTCAGCCCAGGGGTCTATATTAACCTTTATTCTACCGAGAGAAGTTTTCCCTTTGCTATTCACCTAAGACATACATGTAATTATATTAACTGTACATTTCGTACATGAAAGCTCATTGGAATAAGAGAACTGAACAAGAATTTGTATTATTTATAATAGAAAAAAGTAGTTGTAGTTTTTAATGGTTGGGCAGAGTGGTAAATATAAGGGGGGGGAGAGAAAAAATGTCTTTATCCTTGTACTTCGAATATTCGACAAAGAACAACAGAGGTTAGAGTGAGAGCAAAAGAGGTATTCTTTATAATAACGCCCTACCATTTTCTTTCGTCAAAATGGTCGTGACAAATTAGGGGGGTTAAGAATAGTGGGGTGTGAAGAAATGACCTGGTCTGTCTATATCTTTGAAATCTCATGGGCTATAATTTTATAAAAAAAAAAAAAAAAAAAAAAAAAAAAAGGTCACTGGGGGCTCATTATAGGAACAAAGACTGATTTTGACTCTAGAATAAGTCATGACCTTGAGGACAAGTCATTTTGGCAAGATCAATTTCACCGACAGAAAAAAGAGCGGTAGTATCGTCCGGGCTATCTTCTAGTAGAGGATCATAAGACGCGCTTATGTTTAGTACAAGGAATGTTTATGATCTGACTGTGTGTCATGATATTGAATATATGTCATTCCGGGAAGGTTTAGGTCACTGGTAGAAAAAGCAGAATATCGATGTTGTAGTACAATTGGGTGGCAATAAGTTCTCTGAGTCCTTTGAGTTATATTTGTAATCATAACATTCTTTTTATTGTTATGTTAAAATGCTCCTTTATTTCGGCTGTTCAACAGATTTTCTGGGATATCGAATAAACAATCTGTATGATACAAAAATAAATTTATGCCCTCCATTTATCTTATGTTTAGCTAATAATGCTTATAGATAATCCAAAACATATTCTAATTCTGACTATACCTCTATTACATTAACACAAATGAATATTTAAATAATGTTACCGTGCAAGGTAGTCATTGTAAGACTTAACCTCATGTAAACCTACCATAAAATCTTAACTGAAATCTTATTCATTAATAAATGTAAAACTGAACTATTCATTAATAAATGTAAAACAAAACATTATCCGTTGTTTGTTAGTTTTTTGCATGCATTCTTATTATCTATGTACTTTAAACAAGAATACTATAGATAATGTAGAATGGCAATCTCCAGAATATACACGGGGTGATCAAAAAGATCCTGAACTGTCTCTGTACCTTTAATTAACCACAATTCACATCAGAATGAAATTTTTTTAAGACCTTTACTCGGCACTCAGGGCCATTAAGAAGTGAGGGTCACGTGCTTTATCGTACCAACGCCTACCCTAACACGGGGCCTCGGTTTTTAGCTCACCTGAGCTGAAAGCTAAAGTGAGCTTTTCTGATCACATTTTGTCCGTCGTCCGTCTGTCCGTCTGTAAACTTTTCACATTTTCGACTTCTTCTCAAGAACCGCTGGGCCAATTTCAACCAAACTTGCCACAAAGCATCCTTGGGTGAAGGGGATTCAAGTTTGTTCAAATGAAGGGCCACGCCCTCATTCAAGGGGAGATAATTGGGAATTAATGAAAATTTAATGGTATGTTTTAAAAATCTTCTTCTCAAGAACCACTGTGCCTGGAAAGATGAAGCTTATGTGGAAACATCCTCAGGTAGTGTAGATTCAAGTTTGTTCAAATCATGACCCCCGGGGGTAGGGCGGGGCCAAAATGGCCGACCAAATTTTTACATAGAAAATTATAGGAAAATTCTTTAAAAATCTTCTTCTCAAGAACAGCAAAGCCATGATTGATCATATTTATATGGAAGCATCCTCAGGTAGTGTAGATTCAAGTTTGTTCAAATCATGACCCCCGGGGGTAGGGCGAGGCCAAAATGGCCGACCACAGTTTTACATAGAAATATATAGGAAAATTCTTTAAAAATCTTCTTCTCAATAATAGCAAAGCCATAATTGATCATATTTATATGGAAGTATCCTCAGCTAGTGTAGATTCAAGTTTGTTCAAATTATGACCCCCGGGGGTAGGGCGGGGCCACAATGGCAGACCACAGTTTTACATAGAAATATTTAGGAAAATTCTTAAAAAATCTTCTTCTCAAGAATAGCAAAGCCATGATTGATCATATTTATATGGAAGCATCCTCAGGTAGTGTAGATTCAAGTTTGTTCAAATTATGACCCCCGGGGGTAGGGCGGGGCCACAATGGCAGACCACAGTTTTACATAGAAATATTTAGGAAAATTCTTTAAAAATCTTCTTCTCAAGAATAGCAAAGCCATGATTGATCATATTTATATGGAAGCATCCTCAGGTAGTGTAGATTCAAGTTTGTTCAAATCATGACTCCTGGGGGTAGGGCGAGGCAAAAATGGCCGACCAAAGTTTTACATAGAAATATATAGGAAAATTCTTTAAAAATCTTCTTCTCAAAAATAGCAAAGCCATAATTGATCATATTTATATGGAAGTATCCTCAGCTAGTGTAGATTCAAGTTTGTTCAAATCATGACCCCCGGGTGTAGGGCGGGGCCACAATGGCAGACCACAGTTTTACATAGAAATGTATAGGAAAATTCTTTAAAAATCTTCTTCTCAAGAATAGCAAAGCCATGATTGATCATATTTATATGGAAGCATCCTCAGGTAGTGTAGATTCAAGTTTGTTCAAATCATGACCCGCGGGGGTAGGGCGAGGCCACAATGGCAGACCACAATTTTACATAG